TCTGCTGGCGTTGCCTCTTCCCCTGCCCCGGCTTGCAGCGCGTCTGGTGAGAAGGGAACGCTGTGGGTTCTCGTTTGGTCCCTGGGTGCCGTGCATATTTCTCGCTCTGGACCTACGTTAAATTTCCCCCTTCCGAGGCCGCAGATGATTTGTGTGTGTGTGTTGTTGTTGTTTTTACTTCTTATTGCTCTTATGGAAATTTTTATGCCAAAAAAAAAAAAAATCACTACAAGTTACACTTATTTGACCACGGGGCTGGCATGGCCTAGATGCTTTTTTAGGGGGGTGGGGGGGGACTTGTAAATGTTTTTATTGGGATATAAAGGATGGGTTGGGAAATGTCACCGTGGGTGATTATGCCCCACCAGGACACTGTCCATTCTGATCTCCCTGGGATAGCTTCTGGGGCTTTTTCTTTTTCTTGGAGCTGCGGCTCTTGTTCTATTTTTTTTTTTTTAAAGGTCATGTTAACAACGTATTATAACACATTGACTCGTTTCACATTTATTCGGATTTTTTAAGAGCCTTCCAACTCTTAATAGTTATGTAATTCTGTGTCCTGGATACCTGGGTTAAGATTTTGTAATGGTGATGCCTTCCTTTGCCAAGAGCCAATTTAATACATCACACACTTTGGACTTTCCCTTTTTTGCCATCTCCGTTTCTGCCTAAGGACACATTAGTGACCACACATTACATACAAATTGATCATACTTTTAAAAATGAGAGACAGTTTCTCTTTCAAACGGGCAATGACTTCATCACACTAAAAAGTGTACTCTACTTGTGCTCAAGTTAGCGTATTGCTGTTTCGGACATTTGGATGACCCTTCTAGATTATAAATAACTACATTTTGCTCGGAAAGTTTTGGACTAATTTAAAAAGGACAGATCGAGCAGTAGAAAGAATATGTTGAACGTGGCTTTCTTTAATTAGTGAAAGTGATAATCCAAAATGTATTCGAAGCCAAAATCTTAAACACTATTCAGATTCGAGACACACTTTCAAGAACAAGGATGTTAAACTGGTAACTGAAGACTCTAAACTCTAGGTTGTTCTTTAGAAAGGGCGAACTTGACAGTCATATGCAGATATTTTTCCCTCAGTTATATAGGGATTTGGCTCATTGTGAAATAACTATTAGAATGGCTAGCACCTTATAACTTAGTGGTTTTTCTTGCTGGAAATTTTCAAGAGAAAATTTGGAGTTGGAGAAGTAAAAGAAACCCAATTGATGTCTCCATATCTTACATTACCTTAAAGCCCCTCAGAGGCAGAGTGAACCTACTGGTCTGTTCTGGGAAGGCAGATAGCCTGTGTAATGCAGATACAGACAGCTGTGCTGTTAGCTGAGGGGAAAATGGTCAGGTCAGATAGAGCATCTGGAATGTTAGGCCTTTGGCATAGAAAGGTGTTTAATAATGAACTTTCTAAAAAGTCCTCTGAAACCCTCTGGTTTTACAGATAAAGAAAGTAAAGGATTTATGGTCCTAAAACTATTGAAGATACACAAAATCTAGGCAATTTCCTGTTTCATGCACTTCTAGCTTCAGCTACTTGTTAAAGCATCATTCACTAGTTGCTTGATCACACATTCATTCCAGAAGTCTTTACGTGTCTCACATACTGTAGTTGCTTTATGAAAGCAGATAAAACAATGTGAGCCTTAGTCTACCTTTAAGGGCCTTGTAAGAGAGATGAGATTTGCAAAAAAAAATGACTGTTTCATTAGACTTAACACCTTTTATTCACTCAGTTAACAGCTTGCAAAAGGCACTAGGGTGTGGGAGAGATAAAGTTCCTTTCAGCAAAGGCATCTTTTTAGGCTCAAGAAGTGGGTAGCATTTGAGCTGGGCCTTGAAGCATAGTTAGGATTGAAAGAGATAAACATTTTTTTTTTTTCCTAGAAAAGCCAGGAGCAAGGAAGGGCAGGCATGGGGCATGGATGCAGCAGAGTGGGAGAAAGGGCGCCTTGTGGAAGGGTTCCTAAGGAGCCTCAGCCAGCATTGGTGCTTCTAAAACAGGCAGTGCTTGGAGCCTACTGTAGGTCTGTTGAACACAGTCGTTATGGGCGGGCCCCAGATTCCACAGTACCTAACAAAATAATAATAAAACTCCAGGTGATTCTTACATGCCCCAAAGTTTAGCCATCTGGACAGAGAAGCCTTCCTTCCAGAGTCATGGGGGCGGAGGGGGGGGCCGAGGGGAGTAATAATCCCCAACACTTGACCCCATTTGGTAGTTTCTTCCTAACTCACACCCCTTGGCTGTGAGAGGTCACTGAAAAGAGTACAGTTCCTTTGGAGTCATCAAATATTAGGTCATTAAAATTTAAAGGGGACCTTGGACACGAGCTCAGTGTTTTGCTACCTTTTCTCAACAAAAGACAGCAGCCTCCATAAAGAAGCAGCAATTGCCACAGTTATGGTCCTGGATGAAATGCAGTCGGGAGTTATCCGTGGGTTTATAAAAGCTGTCTCCCAGATCTCTCCTCAGATAATGAAGAGTCGGCTTTGCATTTTTTTCTTAGTACAATTTTAAGAGCAAATACCAGCTCATTAGAGGAGGTGGCTTTATTTAGTATGTCCCTTAACTATGAGTAAACTGCTTAGGAGATAGAAGAACGGGAAAGCTTGTAATTATGAAGCTTCTACAGAAATAAATTGCTTTCCTTGTGGGAGAAGCGAGGTATCATTTTCCGTAGCATTCACTGGTAAGAGCTGAAATACAGTGAATTATTGGGGGCTTCAGAGTTAATAACCATGGCTCCAGAATCACTTCAGCACACTAAAATAGAAACATCTGCAAATCACTCAACTTGCTTGCTATCTCTTAACACTGGACTCTTCCTAGAAGAAAATAAGCTATGTTGATATCAGTTGATCCCCAAGTTTTATTGAACACAGTACACTTAAATGGCCAAAAAGTACATCATGTCTCATGACTAATTGCTGCAAGAACTGATGAGAAAGAGAAATCGGTGCAGCTGGATTTGGGGGGGAAAAAACTTTACTTTGAATGGGTAAAAGGGAGCCAGGCCAGGAGAGAAGACCACACAACGCCCGGAGGAAGGTGGCAGGTGTGGGAGCCAGGATGAGACGCTTCCAGAATCACCTGGGCGCTTCAGAAAATGCAGATTTCTGGTCTTTCACCCTCTACTGAATCGTGTTTCCTGAGGAGCCTGGTTAAGTCCTATGTTTAGCCAGTGTCCCAGGAAAGGAGGAGCAGAGCTTATAAAACACTCTCCTTTCTGGAAAGCTTGGGGAGTGTTTTATAAGCTCTACTCCTCCTTTCTCCAAGGTACTTATTCCTGCAAAGGTTGAGAAAACTGGGAGAGGATTCTGGGAAAGTGATCATCAGATCTTTGAGCTTGGGGCCTGAGGCAAGAACGTCCAAACAGAAGCAGGCTTTAAGAAAGGGCAGGGATTGGTGTCTTTATGAAAGTTCATTGAGAAAGAACTTGAGACTGACTTTGTAATAGAAGCGTATTGGTGTAGTCGTACAATTTATACGGATAAATATAACACCGTGTCGGTTTCCACATTGTCTACTGAGAGAGAAGCGAGTGAGGCAATCATTCTGGTTTTGGGGAGGAGGAGACTCCACACCTGTGTTTGAATTTATAGGACCTTGATATCCACTTAAATGGTTATCGTACTTGAATGAATAGAAACTCGAAGGATGATATGCGTGGGCGATGAGCTCCACAGTAAACCCCCTTCTACTTTCATGAACAGTAGCTAAAGTATTTTAGATTTATTTTTATTTTTAGAATAGGGAGAAATCAGCCTTCCTACAGGAAGGAGTAAGACCTCAAGTAGAAAATCTCAGCTAGCTGCCCTCTTCTGCAACACTTGAAACATACTGGTCACCACGATTCGGTGACAGGGATGTGGGCAGGAGTGCCCAGGGGAAAGAGAGCAGAAGGAAATTATTACCATCAGATTTGAATGTTTCTGTAAAATACCTTTTTCTCCTTCCACTACCAAAAAAAAAAAAAAAATGCCTGGGCCACACTCATGTCTTTTGAATTTCAATATCTGCCGTTGAAGCCTGAGCATCTGGTGACAGCCACTTGCTGGCAACACAGGAGGACAGCCAGTGAGGACACTTGTTTTAACTAGATGCTTAGTTAGAAGCCTTCCAAAATTTTGTTTACTAAGGGATTTCCATGTCCCCACAAGTTAGGGACTGCTGTCGGCTGATGAGGGATTGTGCACAAAGGAAAATGTTAAAACCATTTTTATTCCCCCTTCAGAATTGGAGTAGATGAGAAGTCCGCAGATGCAAGTGCTTAAAGGTTACAGGCAGCCAAAATTCGGGTAAAGAATTAAGCGCAGTGGGGTGTCTGGGAAGTCCCTTGGGCTCGTCGCGCCTGTCCCACTGTCTGCCTGTCCCTTTTCTTTCCCCTAACTCCACACTTCCAGTACTGGGGCAGGGCCATCTGCCAGTCTGCAAGTATGCTCGGGACTCGCAGTACCTCACCTAGTACCGGGTACAAAATAAATTACTAGTGACCTCACCTAGTACTACTGACCTCACCTAGTACCGGGTACAAAATAAATTACTAGTGACCTCACCTAGTTCTACTGACCTCACCTTTGCAGATCGTAATGCTACCTTGGATATAAATTACTTTGCAGATCGTAATGCTACCTTGGATATAATAGCTTTCTATTTCTTTTTTTCTGTTTTCCTTTCATGGATTTTAACTATCTTTGAGGGGCTGCTGAAGGAAGATGTGCATCTTTCTTTCAAATTTTTTAGGCCGAATAGATTTGCTGAGATGTATTCTAGAATTCATTTCTCTTTCGTCATGATTTTTTAAATAAAAAAGGATTTTTAATTGCAAAACTTAACACATGCCCATTAATAAAAATCTTCCCTCAGAACTTGAAGTGTCTTTGTATGTACTGAGTATCTCTAGAAGCTTGTAGGAATTTTCATTGTCTGGGTGTTCAAACGTTCCATTAGGACAAATGTCTCAGCATCAGGCGAGCCCATTCAACCTGAAGACAGACCGTTTTTGAGCTCAGGAAAAATTCCTATCTGGTCTTGGATGGTTTTATCCACCATCTCGCCTCTTGTCATGTTCTCAAACTCCCGCTAGGTCGATCGTTAGCCTAGATCTGTCCTCTGTGTCTCTTCTCTCACTTTTTAATGTCTTTATCGCTTCTTTATTTTGTGAGATTTTCTGAACACTTCCATCTTGCAGTCATTTTAAGTTTCTAAACGTTTTCCAGTTTTCCGATGGCTCCTTTTTTCATAGAAGCCCATTCTTGTTTTGCATTCCTAATATTCTGCTGCAGTTTTAAATAGACATAGCTGCGTATGCCCGTTTGCCCTCAGTCTGTCCACAGTCTGACCGCTCTGTGAGGCTGTGTGAGGGCGGACAGCCTCGCTGGTCTTCAAACACCTGAGCAGGGCACACTGGAGACCTCCACCTTTGCCCAAGTACGGGGGGCTTCTTTCTGTATTCTCTAATGTTTAACTCCTCACCCTGCTTCCAGAAAGATCCCTGAGGTCCAGAGTCAGCTCCTGGTCTGGTCTGCCTCTCTCTCAGGCCCATCACCCTCCTCAAGGGCCCTTCTAAGGCATGCCGCCCCCTTTCTTTGAAGCTTTCTTTGGCTCTGTCCAGCAGGCAGAAGCCACCTCTGCCAGCTTCCGTCTGTGTGAGGAGCAGTATGACTCACAGATGGCCCTAACTGGTGCCCCTCAGCCTTTTCTGCCCTTTGTCTGACTCCTCAAGCTTCTTGGAAGGAACCATATTTAATTTACCTTTGGTAGCTGGTCACTTTTTCAGGCTTCGTGAGCCAAAGATCTCTGTTACACGTACTCAGCTCTGCCATTGTAGTGTGGAAGCGGCCGTAGCTAGGACATCAACTTTATGCATAGACACTGGAATGTGAATTCCCTAGAATTTTCACATATCATGAAATATTGTTCTGATCATTATTTTTCCAACCACTTAAAAATGTGGCAGCTCACAGACAGCACATGTCATGGACAGGGCGCTAGTCAGATTTGGCTCACGAGCCGTAATTTGTGGACCCCTGATCTAGCAGCAAACTCTGCAGTTGCTTGTCAGCTTTCATGTTTCCGTTCATGCCTGTAAAAATGGACCATTTCCCCGAGCATCCCAGAAACGTCAGTGATAAACAGCAGATAGTCACACAGACCTGATGTCTTAGTGGACCGCAGCCGTCCACCCTGCTCCTTTGGGTTTTGCCTCTTCACAGCTCACTTCAGAGCATTACGCTAGAAAAGCCCAGCTTGTGGAAAGGACTGGCCAGCCAGCTCACCAATTAAATGTGCCAACCTAAGCTTTTATTGTGGAGGGATTTCTTTTTTTCCTTAGTGATATTTTCTAGATGAATCTGGCATGACCGAAGGTACAGCTCAGCCTCTTCTGGAAAATACTTTGGCATTCTCGGCTGTTCTGCAACTGGACTGTCACTCTGGCTAGGTGCTTGTATTTTTAGACACGTTAGGTTGACAGTCATGACCTTCACTTGATATCTCTAGCACTGCCACATGGGTCGTTCTACTGCTTTGTACACTTTGTGCTGTGCCATGGTATGCTGTGAGGGCAGTGACGTCGGCAGAAGGAGGTGGAATTCGACCTCTATTCCTGGCAAGGCCCCATCGCATTGTCCCGACTCAGTTCTGTCAGGGGTTCTGGTGAGCAGCGGTGCAAGGTGCAGGCGGCCTCCTCCAGCGCCCAGACCCCCTCCTACTTATGCGATCTTGAGAAAACTGTGTAACCGCTTAACCTCAATAGCCGTGCCTGTGAGGTGGCAAATACAATACCTACATTGCCGGATTGCTGGAAAGAGTAATGAAAATACTTGGAAGTGGTATGGCACATGCTAGGCCCTCAGATGGTAATAGCCTCCTCCTTGAACCCAGAAAATGAGCCTCACTGAAGGTAGCAGAATAGGTCACATTTAGCTGACTTCTTAGGATGTGCTAGGTATGGCAACTTTAACTCAGTGACCCTCACAAAGGCTACATCGACCCCCAGGTGAAGAAACTGAGAGGTAAATAAGTTGTTCAGAATCTTGTTAGGAAAAAGAGGGGTGGGATCTGAGACCAGGGGGCCTAATTGGGTCCGTGTGCTATGACTGTTTTGCCTCTAGAACTGTCCCCTGACCTTACTGAGAAAAGTTGAAGCCTTAGCCTTATGTAAGGCTTTCACCTGCAGGCATACTCCATTCCTGAGTACTCCAGGGATGCCTGTCACAGCTATACACTGGTGCTCAATTACAGACCTTCAAAGATATATCACCCTCACCAGAAAACACCATCATCCTAAATGGCTCTTAGAATCCAGTCTCTAGGATCCGGGAACTAACGTACAGGCCCACACTCTCGTAAAACAGCATGGGGCTGGGTCCTGCCGGGGAAGCAGGGCAGACACAGTCCAGGCGTTTTACGCCAGTGGTTATCTTGTGAATATTTTCACTCACTTGTCTGGAAGGTGGACACGTTTACTCAGGAACCGACTGGACTCTAAGGAGCCTAATAAAAAACGAGCTGCTGAATTAGCAAATTACACTTGCTGAGGTGGTTCAACGTTTGGCCAGTAGATGGCGGCATAGGCTTGCTCTTTCAGTGACACTTTCCTGTGACGTCTGTCGTTTACGGTTTTTGTGTAATTTACTCGTGAAGGTTTCCTCGGGCCCAAGGTTGTTCAGCTCGGCAGTTTCTCAGGTGTGTACCCGGATAATCTTGGCTTTTGTTTAGCGTTTAGTTTTTAATTCGAGTTTTTGCCAAGCCACCGTTTCAAGAGGCTAAGCTCAAAGTAATAAGAAAAATTATTCGCAGACCAAACGGTTTGGGCAAACTCGAGAATAAGCAATTGCTGGGTAACTGGAAAAGCAGTATGTGGAGAGATGTGATTTCTTAGCGTCGCGGGGATCTCGAAATGGTAGGCCCAGGCAGAGTGGGTCCCAGCCGTCAGGGTTCTCATCCAGCATTCTAGTTATTGAAAGGGGTTCATTTCCCTCTCACGCTGGGCATTCTTGGAGGCTTGTAGTGGTCTGCCTATTGCTTTAGAAATATGTAGTAATTGGTAGTATAAAGAATAAGTATGTACCCTGTATTTTAATCATTAGCCCTACTGTATTTCTGGAATCTAAATAATCAAAATTATCTGGCAAATCTTTAAAGGCTTTTGTAAGGGTAAGAAGACTTATTTATTCCTATAAAGGAAAATAGCAGTGAGGTATTAATAATAATGCACAGAATGAAGGTATCCAGTTCTGAATGTTTTGGAAATATGCTTATAGAATTAGGAAATGGCAAGGAATGGGAGTGGTCTTGCTAAATGAATAACTAGGCAGAAGAAGTAAAGCTATTTTGAGCTGCCTGTTGCTTGTATAAAGTATGTGTACCACATCGAGAAAGGTGACTGACACTTTTCTAGTGAAGCAGCTAGAAAAATTTTTTGAGCAAAAACCAAATACATTATGGGGTCAAATCAAAAAGACCCATATCCAAACACATATAAAAGTGGACCTAGAAGCTAGTATGAGTTCCAAATAAAGTTCGGCAGAGGTTTCATCAAGATTTTATGTTTTTCAATATCTTAATTACCAACCAGGTAAATTATTTGTGCTATCTCGCCTCGGGAAATTGGCTTTCAGTATTGAGCTGTTCTGAACCTTTGACAATCTTTTTAAAGCCCTGAATAGCAATCCCTATTAGGGCATAAAACTTCAGTAGAATGGCTTGAAATATTGGAATCAGACAGAAATTTATGTGTGAAAAGAATTTTTTTAATGGTCAGTGCTCTAAAAGAAAAAAAGTAAATGTTAAATTTTCGAGAACAGGTAAGAGAATGAGAATTGTCACTAAGTTACTTCTTCATTGTTAAAAGGGCATAAGAGTAGCCACCTCCTAGGATTGTGATGAGAATTATTTGAAAACACACTCAAGGCAAGCAGAATTTGTGAATGGGGCACATATTAAGCATTCAGTAGCCATTAGCTGCACTGTCACCAGCATCACCCTAGGATGGGGGAGGGGAGGAAGGCACCCATAACCTTCAGCCTTTCGTTTTCAAATTTAAATAAATAAGCCTTGCTACACTGCAGTCCTTAAGTGGATCTAAGCCTTGGTCCAGTATTAAAAGTGTAAAAAATAGTATATGAACTCTTTATAGTGTTCACTTTTAGTAATTAATTCCCTAGCCTGGGAATTAATTCATTTGTCAAAGTCTGCATTCCCTCTTGAGTTCCCTCCACATCCTGCTTGGTATTTTAAATTTGCATACGTTAAAGTTTGTTGGTTGAGATGGACAGTTCTTTTGATTTTGCCAAAGGCATGGAGTCACATATGCACCATCTAGGGCTGTGCAGAGTGGTTCCATCACCCTAAAAAGTCCCCTCGTCAGCCACCACTCCCTCCCCGAGTCCCTGACAACCACCAGCCTATATAGTTTTGTGTTTTCCGTAATGTCATCGGAACAGAGTCATACAATGTAATTTTTAGGATCTGACCTCTTTCATTTACCAAATGCATTTGAGATTCGCCCATGTTTCATGGATGAATCTTGCAAATCAGCAGCTTGTTCCTTTTTCTCGCTGGATAGGGTTTCATTGTGTGGATGTACCACGGCTGCTTATCCATTTGCATGGTAAAGAGTTTCTTGGTTGTTCCAGTTTGGGCAATTATTAATAAAAGTGCTGATAAATACTTGCGCACACAATTTTCCATGAACATAAGTTTTCCGTTCCCTTCGGCAAACACCTAGGGGCATGAGCTCTAGGCTGTACAGGAAGTCTATGTTTAGATTATAAAAAAAGCTTGCCAAACTGCCTTCCAGATTGGCCGCGCATGAGAAGCAATAAACAAGAGTTTGTGAAAGATTGGTATTATTCCTTATGTAAATATTTGATAGGCTCACCAAGGAAGCCATCACGGCCCAGGCTTTTCCCTGCGGGGAGGTTGAACTTATAGTTCAGGATCTTTGCTGTGCTGGTTGGACTGTCACAGAACCGAGGGGGAGAGAGGAGGAATGTCACAGAGTAGCGTGGTTCTTACCTAAATTTCAGTAGCTTTCATGAGTAAAAGCTTCTCGGTTTGTCACATGCCTTTGGTCTATATCCAGGGCGTTGAAACAGTTGGCTTCGACAGTTCTGTCCAGGTTCATAGTTGCTTTTTGGGGAGAGGATCTGTCTGCTTCCTCGGGCTTCCCTCTCCTCTGTCACCCTCATTAGCAAACTGACACGTTATAACAGCGTCCCAAAGCCTCCATCTCCAGCAACTACTCCATTTCTCTCCTCTCTAGGGGCAAAATTTCCTCAAAACACTTCTCTGCTCTCCGTCCTAATTCCTCTTCTCCCCACAAGCCCACTGAAACTCAGAAATCGGTGATAAAGCTGCCAAAGTCTTCCATGTTGCTAAAGCCAGATCTGTCCTTGAACTTCAGTAGCATCTGACACAGGCGGGAACGACCTTGTGGATGAAACACTGACTTGACTTTGTTTCCAGAAGGATCAGACTCTTCCTTACTTTTCTCCAACTCTCTGGTCATGTCAGCTTTGCAGATTTTCACCTCATCGTCCCCACTCTGCCCCAGAGCTCAGTCCTTTGACTTGTTGTCTCTCTAAACTCACTTTAGTTTCATCTGTCCACTAACATTAACCAGATGTTTGTTTCCAGCTTGTACCTCCTCCCTGAACGTCAGTCATCTCTTAAATGCCAAACCCCTATTCTCGCAAGCCCACCACGTCTCCCTAACAGTGATGGCACCTTCACCCCTCAGTGACCTTGGAGGCCTCTGACTGCTCCTCCTCTCACAGACCACATCCAAGTCATCAACAAAACCCAGCCACTTTGACCGCTCCTATCATTAGTCCAAGCCAACGACTCTTTTCTCCTCTGACGGGTTTCCTGTGTCTGTCCCCAAAAGCATAGTGTATTTTTAATATATCATCAACCAGTGAGCTTTGCACGTAATGTAAATCAGATTCTCACTCCTGCGTGGAATTCTCCAGTGGCTTCGCATCCCAGATAAAGGCGCAAGTCCTTATAATGGCCGACGAGGCACCCGCCTCGCCGCTTCCCCGTCCCCGCTGACCTCACCTTCAGCCCTTCTGTCAGTCGCTGACCTCGGCCTTGCCGAGCACCTTCCTTTCTCAGGGCTTTGCATTTGCCGTTGCTCTGCCCAGAATGTTCTTCTGTGACTCTCCATAAGACTCACTGATTTCCTTACCACCTCAGGTCTTGGCTCGAAGTCCGTCGTTTAGTGAGGCCTCACCGGGCGTCCTGTGGAAAGTGGGAGCTCCCCCCTCGGAAGCATTCCCCACCTGCCCTTTCTCCTTCCTTTTTCTCCGTAGCACTTTTTACCTTGTGACTACCTGTCGATCTTTCTTTTCTGCCTCTCCCCACTAAACATAGCTCCATGAGGACGGAGAATTGAGTCTGTCGTGTCACTGATCTATCTCGAGTGAGCTGGAGTAGTGTCTGGTGTCCCGCGTGTGTCTTTGTGTCTGAGACAGCGAGGCCGAGGATCGTGGTGGCTGCTTATGGTGGACCAAGAAGGTGGCACAGTCAGGAGTTAGAGCTTCAGACCTTAAGTCTTTCTCTTGTTACTCTTCTCCATCCTGACTGTTTTAACCCTTATTATATCCGGCCTGTCCCACACAGTAAGCCCTCAGTTTTTCTCTCCCTAGTTCCAGTGTATTAATCTTTTCCCGAACACTTAAGTTCCTGAGGGAAAAGATCGGCATGTGTTTCACTGGTATAAAGTGCCCTTCTCAAACTCTTAACTACTGACAGATTCCCCCTGAGAACTGTGGATTAGATTGAGACCTTCACCCTGCAGGGTAAACTCAGAGACGCGAATAAACCTCTCAGTGAAGACAGCCTGGCACGGGAGGCCCGCAGTTGCCCAGGAGGGTGGACTCGTGGCAGCGTCTCTCAGGAGCGTCGGTCTCCCTTCCCTAATTGCATGCTCACGACGCAACAGGCTGATTCGTCAGTCAGCTTCCGCCACGGCTTCTAACCCAGATGCACATTCCAAATGAGACATTATGATCTCTTCACAAGCCCTCACTCTAAAGCCACGCAAGTAAGTCTGGAGAGTCGTGGCACAGCTCAGTAGCAACGGAACTGGGACTAGAACTGGCCTTTTGATGCCCATAGTGCTTAGTACTTACCCATGCTGCAGTTTGTCCTTCATCTTTTTTACTGTAAAGTTTTGTCTTTTGAGGGTAGAGTTGGTTTTTGAAAACCACAGTCTTTCAGAGGCCAAGTCACGAATAAGATGGATGATCAGATTTCATAATCTACTATTGGTCTAAAATGAGCTGGCTTCAACAAGAATGTTTTCCCTGAGTGTTGTAGCTAATAGCCTAAAATGCACTTCTAAATCTGAACCAAAAAAAGATAACAGGGTATCACGGAATTGGAATATCCACTTTGCTCCGCCTCACATCCACAGAACGGTCTCAGAGTAACCATACTAATACCACCACTACTACTTATGATTATTGAAAACAGCTTAAAATTTTTTAAGTGAATTTGCTTTTTCTCATTCTGGTCTCTGCTTTGCCTCCTACTAAATCTTCATATGTTCCTTGTTGGATCACATAGCCATGATATTGTGCTCTCTCTTTTATCCTCATTCAGACTTGAATTTCTAAGTAGCTGTTTGTTTGTTTGTTTGTTTGTTTTTGCCTACAGCACCTGGTCTTCCTAGGTGGTCTCCCATCCAAGTACTAACCAGGCCCAACCCCGAAAGTAGCTATATGTTTAATGCTCAGCACCAGTTCTTATACCAGTGTCTGTCTGGTTATTTTGGTCTGAAGCTTGTTCTCTAGTTCCAGGGCTGGCAATTTTCTGAAAAGGGTTAGATGGTAACATTTAGGCTTTAAGGGCCAAATGTGATCCTGACACGTATTCTATGCGTTGTGTCTGTGTCTGTGTGTGTGCTTAACACTAAAAACCATCCTTAGTTCAAGGACTGTACAGAAATGCCTCTGGCTGCAGTTTGCCAACCCTCACTCTAGTAGTGTCCTCAAGATAGGGTTCTTGGGGTCAGTATTCCGGTTTCGCTTTATATAAAATCCTTGGTTCACGTATAGGTGAGCCATATATATATATGGCTCACCTATATATATATAAAGTTTGAGATATATATACATATCTCTCAAATATGTAACTTCATTTTCTTCTGGTGTAAAACATTGCAGTTGAAGTCTGGTGATGCTCTAATTTTATTTTCCTTATAAGTTACTTGCTGTTTTTGCCTAGATGCCCAAGGGATTTTTTCTCTTTTTCTTTACAGTCCAGTTGGTGTTGGTCATTCTGGGTTGATATTCTCAGGTATGTGGTGTGTTTCTTCAATATGGAGTTTCAAATATTGTTTTGTTTTTAAAGGTTTTTTTTGAATAACAAACACAAAGCTCTATGTATTGATATTTGAAAATATCCATAATACATGTTTTTTAACCTTAAATTTTCTTTTAAACCATCCATTTTATTTTCCCCAGCTTTGAAATATAATAAAAATTATGTATGTTGTACCATGCGATGTGTTGATGTACGTATACATTGTGAAATGATCACCTCAATCACACTAACATCACTTCACGTGGTTATTGCATGTGTGTGTGAGAGATCACTTAAAATTTACTCAACATTTCACATATATAGTAGTTATTAACGATAGTCACCATGTCGTATATTAGATCTCCACAACTTAATTCATCCTGCATGACTGAAACTTTGTACTCCTAAAAGTTTTCTTGATTTATAGTTTTTAGTGTTTGGTTCATTTCCATGCATTCGTTTTCCCACGATAAGAACTCCTGTTACCCATATGTTGGATTTTCTTTGCTTAGAATGATGACATATTCGCCACTCTCTCTCAAACGCCTCATCTCCTCATTTCTTAGTTTTCTAATTCTGACTTAGGCCATCCTACCATTTTCTGAATGACCTTCAGCTCATTTTGCAGTAGAATAGAGTTTTGCTTTGCTCTCTGGGCGTGTCTTTCTGGCGTGCTTTCATTGTCCGAAGAGGTGTCATTCTGTTCCAGAGTTTCTATTTGAAGGTTTTTCTAAGTTTTTAGAAGGAAGTGTGGTTCAGGGTGGTTTTTCTGACCTCACAGAACTCCTCAAACCGTGGACTCCCATTGGACTCCTTTTCTCACCGTCATATTCACAGGATACTTTTTTTTTTTTAATCACAGTAACCTCCCAAACACTCAGCTCGGCAAAGATAATGTCAGTGAAAGGGTGTAGAGCAATCCTGTTGAAATTGAGCTACAGCGAGCCAGTAGTTTATAGAGCCTGACAGATGTCAAATACTGCTGTTTGTTTCAAATTTCACATATCCCATGGTGCCCTTGTGAGTCTGCTGCGGTGCCCCGTGACACTTTGGTCTACAGTGTGGGTGACGCTGATGCTGCTAATCTGGAGACCACACTTGAGAAACCACTAGAATCTCTACTTTTTTTTAAAAAGTAGACGTACAGAAGATTTTCAGAGTTGTACTGCCAGCCAAGAAGAAAATTTCTTCCTTTGGACCCCTTTGCTCAGACAGGCAAGCAGATTGATTTAAAAAAAGAATTTAATATTAAGATCAAACAATTTGGAAACAGGTGTGTGTGTGCGTGTTTGTGCATGTGCACGTGTGTGAGAAGGAATAGTCTTGCTTACTAATGCATGTACACTTAAGTGTGTGTTGTGAAAACTAGTGTTTCTTTGCCTGAATCTAGTTTTCTTGCTGGGGGAAAAAAAAACTACTTTGAGTTGCTGAAAAGAATGAACAGAGAGCATGCCTGCATGCTTACTGACCTTGATGTTTAAAGGACATTTGGTGGTAAATATTTGATTTTGCTTTTGCGACCTGCCTCAGTGAATTTGATTGACTGCTAGTTTCAGACAGTCAGTCTGCCAAATAATGTAGTTTATACAGAAAACTTTGTGTTTTTAAAGAGGATACGAATGTGGTAGAGAAACCCAGATTCCTCCATAGAGATTCATTATGGAGAGAATCTTTGGCGATTGTTCCAAGATTTGCCCCTAATTTATACCATAATGAAGAATTGGTTGACCTCCAAAAGAGCAGTCACCTGCTCACAATGAAGTGACAGGTACAACTCTCCTCTTTACTTGAAGGTTGTGCCCTAATATAATCTACTAGGATAGAAAGCAAAGCACTAGAAAGTGTAGTGAAGACTGCGCCTCCCGCACCTCTCCTCACCCTTTCTCCTCCCAGGACCCCGGAAAATGTGGGTGACTGTCTCTTACCCACTTCTGCCCCTAGCCCCTTTTCTGATTTATAAAAAATCTGGCAGTTGATATTCGATTATTGACTGTATTGCTCAGTGAGGTTCACAGAGCTCTAGAGAAAGCCAGAAAGCTCTGATTGACAGGTAACATTTAAGAGGAATGGGTGTGGGTTGAATCCAGCTGTTTCTTTTCATAATAGAGGGACCTTAGATGACATGGCTAGAGCAGCAGCCTGCTATACCCTAATCTCTTCTCCGGGATTAACACGGGCTTTCTAACATCTGGCTCTTTACAAACCGGTCTTCAATTCTTATTAAAATATATAGATAAAAGAATGTGGATTTCGTTTAGCCGTGCTTTTCTATGACTGGGTTTATAAGTTATAAAGACAAATCCTAGGTTAGAAGAGGCCATAAAGGTTAAGCTATTTTTGTCCTTAAAAGATTATCTTAGTTAATCAGAAACCAATTTTAACAGTGCTATTTCGATTACCTGTCCTAGTAGAAAGCTAGAACCTGGACACTCCGTTAGTCCACCTCTGGACTTGGCTCTGTACATGAACATGGCAACACCGCCCTAAGCTGAGCTCTGGGCTTCGATGCACAGTGCTTTATCTTCTGGTTGAGCCGTGTGAAAATAGAAGAAAGGCGGGAGAAGGAGCCGAGTGTGTAATTGTGCTTTCCTCTCCTTTCCTATAGTGTGTTCCATGGGCAACGGCACGAGCAGACTCTATAGCGCTCTTGCCAAGACACTGAACAGCAGCGCTGCCTCCCAGCACGCAGAGTACTTGGTGTCACCTGACCCAGAACATCTGGAGCCCATTGATCCTAAAGAGCTCCTTGAGGAATGCAGGGCAGTCCTGCACACTCGACCTCCCCGGTACCAGCGTGACTTTGTGGATCTGAGGACAGACTGCCCCAGCAGCCATCCACCTGTTAGGGTCATGCAGTGGAACATCCTCGCCCAAGGTACGCCTGACGCTTTTCTGCCTGAGCTGTTAAGTTTGTGGTGACTGCCTTTCTGCTTCTGCACAGGCCCGGGGTACTGTCTTATGTGGACGGAAGAGGTGTGGGCAGATGGAGGGAAAGGAGGGTGCAGTAACTGGGGTGGCATGAGCTCCCAGCAGGGGAGGTTAGGAAAGGGGGTCATTGGATTTTCTCAGATAAACCCAGCAACTCAAGATTTATTCCTTACCTTCCCCGTTTGTAGGCTTCCCAAGGACAGTGGAAGTCTGTCTACTTCCCAGACATCAAAATTTAAAGGACCCGGTCTTCTGTCAGCTTCACAACTGTCTGTCGTCTCCAGCTTTCAGCCCATAGCACTAAGATAATAGCATTTGCAAGGGAGGAACTGAGTCTGCTGAATGGGTCACATATAGAACTTCGTGCGGGAAAAGGTTACTGTGTGATGTGGGGTGGTGCTGGGCCTGGGTTTTCTTACGGCCAGATTCTCATCCATGTGCATCTGTGTAACTTGAAGCCGAAGAGGTGCTGCTTCAGTCCTCTATTCTCTGTCACTTTCTTATGGTAGAAAGGGATCCTTTCCTGGGTTTGCCGAGTTAAAAAGCAGATGCATCATAGTCAACTTTCTGTGGTATTATTGCCTCTCACGTAGCGGACGTTGAAATTTTAAGAAAAAGGAAAAGGCTGCATTTTTGTTTTCTTTCGTCCTAGAAAAGGGCATACTTTCTGACTTTCCAATCTTGGATTCATTTATTTTTCCAAGTATTCATCCACAAATAGGAAAAGCTGCCTACTTAAAGTGGGTCCCATTCATTTCTGAGCGGTGTCTGTGTCGGTTCATAGGACTTATTATGGTCAGTGTTGAAATTAGTATATAGAGTTGAATATATTTATTTCATCTGAAATAGTTTAGATCCCTGGAACTGCAAAGAACGCTTTTTAAGGCTGAAACTTAAGATCTTATGTCCATGAAATAGTTTTTAAATATGAAAGAAAATCAGTGGCTTGCTTTATCTGGATGGTGAGAGAGAGGTTATTTAGTTTGGTGGGTTAATGCAGTGGAGGCAGAGGAGAATCACCCAGAGCATCTGCAGCAGAGGAAGCGTACAGAGTGTCTGAGTGGTGTCAACCCCAGAGATACTCCCAGGTACTTAGAAGTCATGGTCCTGTGGTCGCTGACAACCGCCTGGCTTTTTATTTCAGCTCTTGGAGAAGGCAAAGACAACTTTGTACAATGCCCTGTTGAAGCACTCAAGTGGGAAGAAAGGAAATGTCTCATCCTGGAAGAAATCTTAGCCTACCAGCCTGATATATTGTGCCTCCAAGAGGTGGACCACTATTTTGACACCTTCCAGCCACTCCTCAGTAGACTGGGCTATCAAGGCACGTTTTTCCCCAAGCCCTGGTCACCTTGTCTAGACGTAGAACATAACAATGGACCAGATGGCTGTGCCTTGTTTTTTCTCCAAAACCGATTTAAGCTGGTCCACAGTGCCAATATTAGGCTGACGGCCATGACACTGAAAACCAATCAGGTGGCCATTGCACAGACCCTAGAGTGCAAGGAGTCCGGTCGACAGTTCTGCATCGCTGTCACCCACTTGAAAGCACGTACCGGCTGGGAGCAATTTCGATCAGCCCAAGGCTGTGACCTCCTCCAGAACCTGCAGAACATCACCCAAGGAGCTAAGCTTCCCCTTATTGTCTGTGGGGACTTCAATGCAGAGCCAACAGAGGAGGTCTACAAACACTTCGCTTCCTCCAGCCTCAACCTGAACAGCGCCTACAAGCTGCTGAGTGCTGATGGGCAGTCGGAGCCTCCGTACACGACCTGGAAGATCCGGACCTCAGGGGAGTGCCGGCACACCCTGGACTACATCTGGTACTCTAAACACGCACTGAGTGTGAGGTCAGCTCTGGATCTGCTCACCGAAGAACAGATTGGACCCAACCGGCTACCATCCTTCAATTATCCTTCAGACCACCTGTCTCTAGTGTGTGACTTCAGCTTTAATGAGGAACCTGATGGACTTTTGTAAAAACTCACCTGTGTCTTTTCAAACACAAGAGTCTTAACCAGGGATGTTTCAGGGAACCGAAATAAGATGCGCTGCCGAGGCCGGTTCCCGCTTCCCGCTTCCCAGCATGCCCTTGGAGGGAATCCTGTTAGTCCACAAGCCTTTTCCATTAAAACCTACAGCGAAAAAGGTGTTTGCACTCCAGTTTTGGCTTGTATTGTTTTCTTCCCCTTAGCATTACAGTTTGGTCATTTAAGGACATTAAATTAGGCTTGTTTTGAAGTTTTTTCAGTTTGCTGATGCTGTATAAAAAGACTCGCCTGAGTTCTCCATGATTAACCATAAGTAAGTAGGGACAATTTCGCTACAGTATTTCAAGTTACTTATTTGTGGGTTTTTTAAATGTCAATAGGATGCATGGCAATATTTATTTTTATATCCTTGTGTAAAATTAAATTATAGCATTATGAAATGAACATTTTAAAACCATGCAAACATAAATTATAAAGTAATTTATCGTAATTTTCTTAAAGCTTTAAGATGTCTTATTTGGGGTCTAACAAAATAGTAGTATACAAAGGAACTATTTAGCCTGGAGGGGCTTTTGGGTTATTTTTTAGGTGGAAATACCAGGTCTTCTTGATATGCTCTTCATAAATAATTCTTGCTGAGCCTTTATGTTCCCCATTATTGTATTGCCTAAAGAGATTCCACGGCCAGCCTTCATTATTTAATCACTGCTGCGCATTTATAGTTCCCCATTGAAATGCTATTGGTATACATTTGAGGTCACTCAATGTCATTATTTGTATTGGAATGTGCTTTTCACAACAGGTTTTTTTAGGAGCTGTTAGGTGGCACGGGCTAAGAAAGTCGGTAGGATCTTTTCAGAGACGTGAAACTAGAAAGCCTGTTCGTGAGGTTGTCGTTGAAATTTCCTAAAATAGCAAGGTGACTGGTTCAGAAGGTCTAGAAAGAATGTAAAAAGAAAGATAACCTAGAATTCTCTTCCATCAGAAAAAAAAGTGGTAAAGATAACAGGTAAAGCCCCCTTCCCAACAAAATCCCAACAAATAATCTATTAATTGATGTTTTAATCCAGGAGGTGTATATATTTAAAATTAATAAATGGTCTTTTCAAACTATATTTTTAATAGCTTGTCTTTTTAGCCCAAAAAGAATCTGGGATAGATTTGATGTTTTAATACTATTATGTGGTGGCCCACACCATCCATTTACACGGACCTTCATTTTTAAAGTGGACAAAGCTGGATCTATAGCAGCACATGGAACACATCCATGGTATGCTTATATGTAATCTCTCGGCACCAAGGCTGGAGTTCCCCAAAATGGCTCACCCAAATCTTCTGCACTGGAACCACTTTGGAAACAAATGAGGTTTTCAGTATATTGTATACAGAAAATCTTGGGGCTATGAAGGAAAAGCAAACAGAAAGAATATCTGTACCATTTGGTTCAAAGCTTAACAGATGATGACCATTATGCGTGCTAAGAAACATAATACTGATTAGAATACTTACAAGTACAGCCATTAAATATTGTTTACTGACCCCAAAGTACACCAGTCTAAAGGGAGATTATCACAACAGCCTTAAGCAAGCAAATCTGGATGAGAATGAAAGCCAAACACTTGAATTTCAGATGCTGTCCAATACAGTCATGCACTGCTTAATGATAGGGACAAGTTCTGAGAAATGCGTTAGGGGAGTTCATCATGTGAACGTCGTGGAGTGTACTTACACAAGCCGTGATGGTCTCACCTACTACACAGCTAGGCTTTATGGTCTAACCTATTGCTCTATAGGGGAGGAAAAATAATTCTCCCTCTATCCTTCTAGGTTCTTGGTTGAGAAATCCCTGTAATAAGACAGATTAACAAGAGAAAAAAACAAGTTTAACAATGTGTATACCTCCTGTATACATGGGAGACCCATGAAAACAGTAACTTGCAAAATGGCTGAGGCCACCACCTTAAATACAGCATCTTCAGCTGAAGACAAAAGATGTTAAGGGGTGGGGGAAGTCAGTTATGGGAGGCTACCAGCAGAGGCATAGTGTATAAGTTAAGGTTGTGGAGGGTAGAGTAATGGGGTTGCTGGTAAGGTCACTTACTGAGCTAAGAGAAACAGATTTTAGAAAAGTTCAATTGGACATTCAAGAGGAAGTAGCCACTTGGCAATTACATAAACCCACCTAAGACTTAAGTCTAAGCTAGAATATATTAGGTAGTAAGATCTATGTGTGGGGGTGAGATTATCTAACGATTATTCTGAGGTGAAATCTATATAACAGTAAACATTTAACATAATGCTTCATATATGCCAGGCACTGGTTCTAAATCCTTAATTATTTAATTCTTACAACTACTCTGTAAGGAAGAACCCCACAGACGGAATCTTGCTAAGTACTAACATTCAAAGGGAAAGCTGAAGGAAAGCAAGTCAACTAAGAAGAGTTGGTCGGGCAGGAGGTAAAACGAGGGGTTATAGAAAAATCAAAGAATTTTAAAGCTGAGACACACGATCACGTGGGAGGAAAAAGCATGTCTGATTTGAATATTGGGTTAATCGAGACTTCAATGAGAACTTTCTAAGCCAGAATCCAGACTGCAAGCTACGGAAGAAAAAGAATGATGCGCTATTAACTGTTGGAACAAGGAAACCAAATAAGTATGAAAGTGGAGGAGATGCTGAGTACAGAAAGAAGGCATACCTGCCCACCTCCAGAGACAGGTGGTAAGGATGGGTGCTAGAATAAGTAGATGGTCTTATAGCAAGAGTTCCGGAAATGGAGGGAGCTTACAGCTCATGACTTCCATGTGTTGTCTGTAAAGAGGCATAATGGTAATGTGGTAAGCAGAGTGGTGAAGGCTGGAATTGTTGCTCGCAGATGGCCTAAGTAATAAGTGGACAGAGACTACTGATCATTGTTCAAATGCCTACTGAGGCTGGAAAATTTAGTACATTAAGCCATTATTATGTGGTTCTTCTCCAATATGCTGGAGACAAAAAACGAATATGATTTACGGTTTAGGAGGGTTGAAATTAAAAGCCATACCACTGGTAATGTCAATCACCAGAAACATTCCAATCAGTACATACTGTCAATATGTATGCTTCCAAATCTAGGCTATAGGTGTGCTTATTCTGAAAGAGATACAGAAAAATGTTGAGGTAGAATGGTGGAGGTAAGCGAGGTAGCCTTGTTTAACCTAATTAGAACCAATTAATAATACAGCCTAGGAGGAAAGAATTACTTCCTTAAAATTTAAGTTTCTTTAGCTATCTTCCATAGTACGTGACTTATATTATTAGCAAAGATTACTAAAATCAATAAATATACTCAGCACTTGTGGAGAGGTGTAGGTACGGTATGATTTTGCCTCCAAAGAGTTCTGTGGAAGGCATTACTCGACAATCAAACTGCAGTGCAAATAAGACAATACAATTAAATGCCAAAGCATACAGTACAATTTTGAAAGCTGAAATATTTAGGAAATGTTTTCAGGAGGTAAAAATTTGAGATTAACTCTCAAATGGGATAAGAATCAGGTGAGTTTTTCTTTGAGTTTTTATTAAAAAGTACCGTCAGGTATGCTTATGGAAAAGATAAAAGATAAAGGGAGTTGTTATAAAAACCTTTGTCGACCTAAGTAATATTTGATGAAATGCACAATTAAAGGCCACAAAATATTAAGTATCAGTTTATTTAAATTTCTAAAAGATGTAAAAATAGACAACTTTTCTTTATAGTAGAAAGAGCATTAAGATGTGGAGTCACAGGACCTAGTTCGGTGTGAAATAAGGAAATTCATGTAATCCCTCTGGTACCTCCACATCCTAATTTGTAAAAGGGCGAGAGTATTACTCTTCTAACCCTCAAAAAGTCTGATTGAGAAACAAATGGTCTGATTTCAAATATAAATTCTTTAAGTGTGGCCAACATCAAAATAGTAAATTCATTATGGTAAGTAGAACATTATAGTTCATGATAGTAATTAGAAAGTGGCAACATGCAGATATTTGCCAAATATTAATACAATGGAACAAAACAGAAGTAGAATTTCTTACACAGTAGTTGGGAATGAGAAACAGGACTTCTATTCGTAACTAAAACGATGTCTCTATACTAGCTTTTGAATATTGTTATAAATATCACCAGAGAACAAAACGCAATATAAGTTTCATTTCTATATTTCAGAAAACCTACTTGAATACACTTTGAAACAAGAGTACAACAAAATAGAATATACTTCAAATGTTGAATATACAAACTATTATAGTTCAAATCTGAACACTGGTACTTTCCCTCTTAAACTTCAACTAAAAAAAAAAAAAGAAAGAAAACTCCAGGTATTAGAGTTGCCTGACAAAAATTCATGCTGAGCCTTAACTTCCAAGTGACAGTAGAACTGGAAATGTGTCTGCACAGATGCCAGGGCTAAGTGAGTGACACAGGCATGTTACAGCAAAAGGCCAAAGCCAACTGTTAATTTGTCCACAATTAAGAAACTGACAGACTTAAACTACCATATAAAATGTTACATGTAAATTCTATAACAATACTGTGCTAGGTACAAGATTTTTAAATTTTTTTTCTTTTAATAAAAAAAGCTTTACACAAACAAGCCGTTAGCTTATTTCAATAAAGAAAACCGAAAATTAGTCTAAGGCCTTTGTTTTAAATCAGCTTAAGCTATATGATATAAAAAAAAAAAAATCGCACTAGATCTTTTTTTGCTATCCTCTGAAACTTTTGGATCCATTCTTCAATTCACATTCTAAAATACCTATATTAGCAGTCTTCACATAGCACCAGTTAAGTGAGTTCTGTGTGAACACAGTAATAATTGCTGGTATGCATATAAAATGCATCAAAAATTGCTATATGTAACAATGAGATCACCCATCCCAACCCCTCCCCCACTGAAAACTATATAGCCTCTTACAGAATGTTAGTGTTCCAAGTCTTAGTGTAACTTGATATTGTAGTGAGTTGCTTGGTCCCTTTCAATCCTTTTTCTTATTGATGGGGTTCAGTTGTTTCCTACTGTAAGAGGCAGTTTTCTGTCAGCATCTCAATATGTAGTTCATTTCCCACTGAAACATGGGATAGGTAATTTATTTCCAGTAAGTCTGATTGTTTTCTTATATGCATTATAAATGTTTTAAAGTCTTCTTTTGACTTTTCTTGATGATACCCCTTGCAAATATGTGTTAGTACTATCACTAACAGTCTAAAGTCCATGGCAGAGCTGCTATTTTATTTCTCACACGTCACCAGTCCTTCTGTTTTCATAGTTACCGGAAGGGCAATAGCTGAAGGCGCACTGACAACCACTACGTGGGTCACTGTCTTATTTCCATCTGCCGGTTTTTCTTCTTGTACCAGCTGCAAAGTTTTCACATCATGTTCCTGCTTTTTTGCCACTGCTTCTGACTTAACCTCTGGCCCTTTTATGACGGCGCTGATTACTCGGGGAGGAGTCTGGCCAGACGCCTGCTGAGTAGGCACCGAGAGTCTCATTACAGGTGTACCGTGGGCTATGGAAACCGGGGTCAGCGCCCTCACGGCCAGTGGGGTTCCAACAATGTTAATGCTTCCCGATCCAGTCAGATTTGACTTTGTCTGCAGTTGACACTGTGCCAGTTGTGTAGCTGGGATGGTAATAATTTTGGCAGGCTGCATGGTGATTTTGTCTCCATTTTCAGTAGAGGCTGGCATCACAGTAGGGATTGTCTGAATAACGACCTTCGGAGAGCTTGCTGTTGCTGGACTACTGCTGGTTAGTAATGGTGTGCCTGCATTAACTGACTGAACGGCCACAGTTGAAATTTTCTGACCCAACGATGTCATTACAACGGGTACTTGCATTGCCACACGAACTGTCCTAGTAGATTAAAAAAAAAGTTGATTATATTGAATGCTAAATTAGAAAATAGGTCTCGTGCAAAAATATGACTGCCAATCCAAAAATGTACAAACTAGCGCTCCCAAATTTTACAGATGTACTGACGATCCCTACATTTAGAATATGAAATACCATGAAATAAATACATTTTAAAAATCAAATCCCACATTTAAGTTCTATCTGTAAAACCATAAAAACCAATCCAGGTTAAAGGA